CCCCTCACTCCTGACCCACAGTACCCTGCATCCTGCCAGGGCATGCAGGGACCCCACCCCCTCCCCAGGCTCCAAACCCCACCCACACACCCACAGTCCCCCACACCTTCACAAATTCCACCCCCACACACACACCCGACACCATACAAAGGACCTGCATAATTTTGCATAATTTGGAGCTTTTAGCTGTGTGATTAAAATTGCAGTTGCGATTAATTTTTTTAATCGTGCAACTAACCGAGATTAAATTTTTTAATCGTTTGACAGCCTTAATTAAAATTAACAGAAATAACTCCTGTTTCCTGGTCTATGCTGAGGCTATTCATAAGCATGTCCATCAGTACCAGTTCCATTAATGATTTGTGATGTAGAGATAAAAAAGTGCCTCAAAGGCCTACAACAATGGTTTTCAAACTTCCTACAGTCATGAAACCTTCTTATATCACTTTTTCTGCTACAGAGCCCTTACCCCAGAGATGGGCAATTATTTGGGCCCAAGGGCCACATAGGCTGTTTTGGCGAGCTATCATGGGCCAGGTCAGCACCTCTCCCCAAACAGTTCACCAAAACTCCCTATATGGGATGGGGACTCAGGCAGCAGTGTTCAGGAGTGGGACAGATGGGTGAGGCTGGAATCACAGGGTGGGGTTTCAGGGCAGTAACAGCACAGGCCCAAGGCTGGGTGAGAGCCATGACCCGCTGTCTGCATGCCCCTGCAACAAGTGCGGGTTCCATGGCAGGAGCATGCAGGGAGCAGATTGCAGCTCTGCCCCACCCTGGCTCTGCACTGTCACTGCCCTATGGTCTCAGCCCCAGACGTGGGCATAGCGCCCCACTGACCTGCGCATCCTGTCCATGTGGCTTTCTGAAACGACGTCTGGGACTGGGATCTTCAGGTGGTGACAGCGCGGAGCCAGGGCAGAGCTAGAAGCCACTGCCAGGCCTCACTGGGGGGGACTTCAGCACCCATGAGTGGGAAAGGAGAGCTGCAAGCTCCATGGAGGAGGCTTGGGAGGAACTTAGCTTCCCTCCCCTGGTCTGGGGCGCACTGCTCGCAGGCAAGGAAGGGATGGGGTGGACCTGGCGGCCACTCAATGCCCCACTACATACTTGCAGCAGTCAGGACCAGGCATGGGCCCTTCCATGTGACCCTTCCAGATAGGACCCTTCCACCTGATTTTGAGTCATACTGACGTACCTTGCAGCTCCCAGCAGCCACTGGTATTATTTACACTTCAATTAGTTTAATTTAAACAAATAAGTACCTTCCTTTTTCAAATTTGCTTCAGATATCATTGGTGAGATCTGAACAATTGTTTGCCTTTGTTCTAGATAGAGGAAAAGAAATAAATATAACAGCTTCAATTATCTTAAATGTACCTAACAAATGCATGTTGACATTCTGACAAGTTATAGTTTAGCACAGAGCTGGGGATCAGGAGACTGGGATTCTTTTTGGTTTCTGTCATTTAACTCCTCAGTGTAACTGTGGGCAAGTCACATTGGTTATTTGACTTAATCACCCCACCTGTAAAATAGGGATAACAGTACTTACCATTTTAAAATCTATGAGTGAAATTTAGTTTACTTTGTAGGGCAAAGCATTGTTATTTATTATAATAACAATTTATGGTTTCTTAATTTATTTGCTCATGAGAGGAACTTCATCCAGCCCAAAAATGGCCCCTTGAAATGTCACAGCTGTTTCAGTTCACAACATGCTTAATATTTTTTTGATAAGAATTCAGCATGTGCTTAAGTATGATCATGTATATAAGTGCTGTGCCAAATGTCAATGTTTTAAGTTAAATATATATTTATGTGCTTTGTGAACTGAGGCTTAAGAACATATACCACCACAACACAGCACTTTAGGACAGAAAGTAAAGATAGACACACACCACAGCTAAATAAAACCCCAAAGTAATCCACTTACAGCATTAACAAAACCACTTCTTGCAGGTGGGGGGGGGAGGGGGGAATATTCAAGTACTGATCTTGCTTGCTTCTAATGTTGACAAGATAAGTTTATCAGGGGTGACCACCAGGATCTGGGGGAAT